GTATTGCCATTTTCACAACATTGAGTCTTCCTATCCATGAGCAAGGGATATTCTTCCACTTTTCAAGATCTCTTTTTGTTTCTTGTAGTAATGTTATGTTCTCTAGTTTTATTGACACTTTAAACATTATATAGTGACCTTCTTTGTCCTTTGTGATAGTTTTTGCATTGAAATTTATTTTACCAGAGATTAATATCACTGTTGTTGTTGTTGTTGTTGTTGTTGTTAAGTGCTGTCAAGTCACAGGCAACTCATAGTGACCCTATGACGGAGAGTCCTCAATGCTTGGGTGTTCATAGGGTTTCCGGAGGCAAGCTATTATGAAAGTGCATGTCACTCCTCCTTCCAAGCTTGTTTTAATTGGGGAGCTCCACCCCTCTCCCTGTCCACATTGGATAACCAACCATTAATGCATTTGACACATCAGTTTTGCAGTGTTCAGCCTAACAGCAACCACAAGTTACCGTGGTATGGCAACTTGTACACCAGGGCTATACAACCTAGAGAAATGTCTGAACAAAAATAATGAAAGACAGGCCTGAGGGCCACAGATTAAAAGTCACCCACCTTTGGCTTGGTAGCATCGCTTTCCGTCCACTGGGCCAGCTGATATCTCTCTCTTTGTTGATGCTATTGTTGTTAAGTGCCATCGAGTTGCAGACAACTCATAGTGACCCTATGAAGGAGAGTCCTCAATGCTTAGATATCTTTCATCCTCTCTCCAGGTTCATAGGGTTTCCGGAGGCAAGCTATTATGGAAGTGGATATCACTCCTCCTTCCAAGCTTTTAATATCACTACTCCTGCTTTTTTCTTGTTGCCATTTGCTTGGTATATTTTTCCTCACCCTTTTATTTATAGTCTATCTTCATTTTTCGGATGTATCTCATATAGACAGCATATTAACGTATTTTGGTGTTTTTATCCAAACTGCTACTCTTTTACTCTTTTTCTCTTCAGTGGTGCATTTAAACCATTCACATTCAGTGTGTGACTATTGAGAGGCAAGGTTTTATTGCTATCATTTTTATTTGTTGTGTTGCTAGTTACTTTGGTCCATCCTGCTTTCTGTGCCACCTCTGTAGGAAGGATGTCTCTCAGTGTTTCCTGCAGTGCTGGTCTTGTTTTTACAAACTCCCTTGGGTTATGTTTTTCTGGGAATATCTTGGTCATTCCTTCATATTTGATAGTTTTGCTGGGTGCCATATTCTTGGTTGACAGTTGCGTTCTTTTAGTGTTTGATATAAGTCATTCCACCATCTTCTTGCTCACATGGTTTCTGCTGAGAGATTAGCACTTGATCTTATGTGCTCTCACTTACAGGTTACTCTTTGTTTCTCCCTAGTTGCTTTCAGAATTCTCTCCTCATCTTTGGTTCTGGCAAATTTAACTATGATAAACCTTGGTGTTTTCCTTTTGGGGCCTATGTTGTTCGCTCAGATTCTTGAATATGTATTCTCTCATTCTTCATTATGCCTGGGAAATTTTCTTCTAGTAATTCTTCCGCAACTTTTCAGTGCCTTCTTTTGCTTCTTCCTGTTCTGGGATTCCGATGATGCAAATGTTATTTATCTTGATGGTGTCCTACATCATTGTTAGGTTTTCTTTTTTTCTTCCTTTTTTATTCTGCTATTTGCTCTAGAAGATCAGTGGTGACAATGCTATTTTCTATTTCGCTGGTTCTATGTTCCATAACTTCAGTTCTGTTCATGTGCCCCTCCATCTTGTTGACAGCATGTGAATAATTGGACCTCATATATTGGATCGTGGTTTCTTGTTTTTCCAGTGCCTCTAATGCCTCGTTTGTTTTATCTGCATTATTTTGGATTGGTTTTTTTGTTGTTTTTTTAAGCTCCACCTAGTTTTTGCTTGTAATATCCTGTAATCCTTCAAGTTTGTCTTTTCATCCATTGAAAATATTCAATCATTGATTGTTCTTTTAGATACTGCATCAAACCGTTTCATCAAACTTTCTGGCTTCAAGAAATCCATTGCTATTGTGTCACTTTTTGTCACTATTTTGCTTTACATTTATATAGGGTTTGAGGTACCCTGCTTTTTGTGTGGCCTTGCTGTGGTAGAGTTTTTCCATGTCTGAGGCAATGGTAGGTTCTTGATCTCAAGTCACTTCCCTAGAAGAGGTTGTAGTAGCTACCCTGCTTGTATTTCTCTTTGAATTTGTGCCTCTAGGGAATGTTCAGTTCAGGCCTTCTGAGAGCAGCCTCTGGTTGCAGCTTAGTCTGACTAAGGTGCTCCAGATTAAAGGCAGGTTAGGTGACTGGATGTGGAGACATGGATGCGGTACCAAATAGGCTTGGGGCAGAATGGGTTTGGGGTGGGCACAGGCACGGGTCTGGCACACGGAGACCTGACTTAGATTCCAGCTATCCAGGTGGCCTCCATCCAGTTCTTGCCCAGCAGCTCTCACCCTATTTGGCTCTGAGTCTGGCAGGGATCTGGTTTCAGTGAAGCTTAAGAAAATCAGTCAAATTCTCACTGTTTTGTTTGCTCCTGGTAGGTGGGTCCCAGAGCTACTTGGCTGGCAGTTCCTGTGGGGCTCGGCTAGTGGCTCTCACAGCGGCTCAGCTCCCAAAGTATCATCATAAAACCAAATAATTGTTCAGCTAAAAGAGAACAAACAGATATATCTTGGAGATGGTGCAGTCAGAGTGCTCATTGGAAGCAAGAATGTTGAATGAGGCTTCACCTCATTGTTTTGGGCATATTACCAGCAGGTGCAATTCCTTGGAGAAAGATATGATTCTGGGAAGGGTGGAGGCTCAGCGAAGGAGAGAAAGACCCTCAACCTGGTGGGTTGACACAGTGACTGCTGCATTGGGCTCTTCTTTGTCAAGAAGCATAAAGGTGGCACAGGGTAGAATGAGGTTCAGAGCTTTTATTCATAAAGTTTTATGAGTCATACTTGACTCATTAGCATCTAACAAAAAGTATAGAAAGTTAGTTTTTTAAAAAATTACTTATATTCAAAAACTTTACATATGTGATTACATTTAAATTAATGTTTTGTGCAGAGCGTTATACATTCTTACTCACTAAATATTTATGATAATATATGCTAGGAGCTGGAGGTAAGAATATAAATAGAACAGTCCCTACCATCAAAGACCCCACATTCTAGGGTTTTTTTAATATTGTTCCCACCTAAAGAGCCTGGGTGGCACTGAGGTTAAAGGACTTAGTGACTAACAAAAGTTAGTCAGCTCAATGACTAACAACAACAACAACAACAAAAAACACACCACCAGCTGCTCCATGGGAGAAATATGTGGCTGTCTGATTCTGAAACTATTATAGCCTTGGAAGCTCTGTGGGACAATTTTACTCTGTCTCATAGGGCCACTTTGACTCAAAAACCACTCATTGACACCAGGGGTTTTAGTAAATACGTAACTGTATATGTATGTACGAATCATTCTTTGTGAAAATTATTTCTGATTTTCCCCTTATTGAAAAATAATACAGTGTCCTAACTTTCAAAGGTAAAACTGACATTTGAAAATGCATATGCTGTGAAAAAGGAAGCAACTCAGCCAAAACAGAAAAAGGCACAGTTGAATACAAGTGATTTAGTCAAACTTCTGTGGGGAGAAGAGGTTGAAGATATCCAGAAGAATATTCTCAACACTCCTCATATTATTATGTACCTCACGCTACAGCTTGACTCAGAAACATCAAAAGAAGAGGTGAGTATCTTCTCAAAACTGCAAAAGATAAATTAAGGACCTTTTATAGTCTTCCAGATGTGTAATAGCATTTTTTTATTTAAGAAAGAAACAAAAGTAGATTTTAACTTTAATTATTATCATTTAAAATTATCTATATTTCTATACAGTTATTAGATTTTTCATAATACAAATGGCGGAATTATTTAGTTATCTTTACTTGGCTCCACGGTCAATGCTCTCAACACCAGTAGCCAGGAAATTAAAAGATGTATTGCGATGGGAAAGTCTGCTGTTAGGGACCTCTCCAAAGTACTAAAGAGCAATGGTGTCTCTCTGGAGACTAAGGTGCATCTGATACTTGTTATGCATCAGAGAGTTGGACAGTGACTAAGGAGGATAGAAGGAGAATTGATGCCTTTGAGCTGTGGTGCTGGGGAAGAGTATTGAGGGTACCATGAACTGCTAGGAAAACAGATTCATCCTGGAAAGGGTTAAACTGGGCGGCTTCCTGGAGGCAAGGATTCTGAGGCTCCATCTAACATACTTTGGACATGTTGTAAGGAGGGACCAGTCCTTGGAGAGGGACATCATGCTTGGTAGGGTGGAGGGACGGTGCAAGAGGGAAGGCCCCGTATGAGGTGGATTGATTCAGTGACTGGGGTAATCGGGATGGGTGTATCGGAGACAGAGCAGAATTTAGGGCGATTGTACATAGGGTCACTATGAGTCTCAAGTGACTGGACGTCACATAACAACAACAACAATAGGTAGTAAGAAAGGGGGGGGGAAATTGTGATTGCAATATCTTGCAATTTACATGTTGTTGTTTTTACATGCTGTTGAGTTACCTGCAACCCATGGTGACCCTATGTACAGCAGCTCTGAACCATGCCATGTCCTGAGCCAGTCTCACTAATTCTGACACAGCAACCCCCATTGCCCCAGTGACTATATCAATCCATCTCATCCGGAGTCTTCCTCTCCTGTACAGTTCCTCCACCCTTATGAGCATGATGTCCTCCTCCAAGGACTGGTCTCTTCTGGCCATGTGCCCCAAAGTATGTGAGACAGAGATTCAAAATCCTGGCCTCCAGGAGAAATTTGGTTTCACCCTCTCCAAGACAGATCTATTTGTTTTCTTGGCAGTCCGTGGTATGTTCAAGACTCTTCTCTAGCACCATGACTTGAAGGCATTGATTCTTCTTCTGTCATACTTAATCATTGTCCAGCTCTCTGAAGCATAAAAAGTAATTGTGAAGACCATGGCCTGGATTAGGTAAACCTTAGGCTCTAGACTAACATCGTTACTTTTCAGCACTCTGGAGAGGTCCCTGACAGATTTTCCCAGTGCAGTTTGTCTTTTGATTTCCTGACTGCTGTGGTTAAGAGGGTTGATTGTGGAACTCAGCAACCTGTAATTGTTAACAACTTCAATCTCTTTTTCCATCTGTCATGGTGCTGCCAGTTGGCCTAGTGGTGAGAATCTTTGTCTTCCTGATGTTGAACTTCAGTCCATATTGAAGACTACAATCCTTGACCTTCTGCAGCAAGCGCTTCAGGTCGTCTTCAGTTTCAGCAAGCAAGGTTGTGTCATCTGTCTAATGTAGGTTGTTGATGAGTCTTCCTTCAGTCATTATGCCACTTCATTGGTTTCAATATACACATGTTTCCTACTTATCAACTGGCTTATTATCCTACATTTTGAACTTATAATTTTGAAAATCACTTCAGGCAGCATTTTTGATGATTGAATATCCATACAAGGCCACAACCAGGCTCAAGGCACCCTTCATAGGCCACACCTAATACTGTGGCAGTGAAGCTTCGTCTCACATGTTTTGGGCATGTTGTTAGGAGGAGAGCCAGTCCTTGGAAAAGGACATCATGCTTGGAAAGATAGAGGGGTCACGGAGGAAGGAGAAGACCTTCAAGAAGATGGATTGACAACAGTGACTCTAATAGTGGGTTTGAGTATGTCAGAGATGATAAAGATAGCACAAGATAAGGCAGGATTCAGATCCATTTTTCTTGGTGTCACTGAGTCCTAATTGGTTCAATGGCAAGTAACAATAGCATAGTGATAATTGGGACACACTCAGTATGACAGCCAGTGAATCATGAGGTGGCAGCCAATGAGTTGTGAGATGTCTTCTTCTCTTCCCCACAAAGGGCATAGAGCATTAATGGATAAGACTGAAGTTAGGCAAAGAGACGCCAGTTGAGAGCTCAGAGGGCACAGGGAAATGGAACAAACTAGGAAGGGGGTTAGGGAAAGAAGAGGTAGAGGGAGGGCAAGGAGCTATGCAAAGCTGTGAGTCCAGGGTGAATGGAAGATGGCAAGATCCCCACCCAGGGTAGACAGTAGATGGAGAAGAAGAGAGGCACACTGTGAGCTGGAAGCAGGTAGTGGCTAACACATCTACCACTACCACCTTAGCCCCTGTGACTTCCACAGTGGAGTGGAAGGCATAATGGGTAAAAGAGAGCATCTCAAGGTGCACTGGTGATGCCAGACAGGCAATGAGCAATTGAAGGGGAAAACTGATGCCTGAAATAGGGCACAACCCTCCAACTCTCATGATGCCAATTTCGTATAACAACCTGATCTTTGGAACTGCACCAAGTCCCTAAATAGGTGTATGTATGTTTTAAATTAAAGCTTCTGTTTTTATGGTTTTTTTTTTTACATCCTGTATTATGAACTCCAATTTTGAAAAAGATCCTGTTAGCTTTGGGGTATATTTGTTTTGTTGATTGTTTTTTTCCCATATGATCAGAAGGATTCAAGTTGAATATTCCTTGAAAGTATGTTTTAATTGTCCCATTACCACAGTGCTTGTCAAAGCCAGTTCTGATTAATCTCCTTTGTCAGTGTGTCCTTTGCCATTCCTTATCACTCCTCCCTGAGAGAGATTTCACCCTGATTCATAAGGAAAAGAGGACAGCATATTCTCTTAGCTACTTCCTGCTGAAAAGGGACGCTGTAGGTTTCAGGTTGAAGATCTTCTCTCACTACTCTAAAGAGCCCCTTTAGCAATAGGAAACACATAAACTATTGTGGAGATTGATTTTGGAATGTAGATGCACTGTTATCAATTGTGCTTAGCCATACATGTTCATATCCTTGAAGATGTATCATGGAAGTGTTGCAGCCTAGAAGACACAAATTTAACTAACAAGTTAAAAGTACATGAGTCAAAAATTAAAAGCAATAATATTCCAAGTAGAGGTTCTAACAGTGGCACAAATCAAGTTACAGAGGGAAGGTAGTTCTTAAAATAAAAGGCCTATTGACTAGCACTTTGTCTATTATAGTATAAAGGTTAGGAACCACAAGATGTAGAGGCTCAACTATTTCATTTATTGTTCTTAAGTCCTGGACCAAATTCCATCTACCACTGGATCGGTTTACAGCTCAGAAGTCCACATGCAAGACAGAGGTGAAGTAAGGAACTGCTTATGAAGTTTTCCATCAATTCCAACAATTAAGAAATAGTGAGAAGAGTTGGGACCTCAGAAAGCTTTTAGGACCAAATAATAGGCTCTTGTGTCCAGGAGGAAAATGAATATACTTACTAGTAATGTTAATGCTCACCCCCCACAGCTCTTCTGGGAGGATCTGAATCATTGAAGCATCCTCCTTTGTTTCCAGCTGGGAGCTGGGGCCTGTCAGTCCTGTCAGCCACAAGGATCTGATGTGGACCACCCTTGGCCAAGTGTCCTTCAGATCCAGATCCACACTTAAAGCAAGTGAGTGGGAGCTTCCTCTCTACTCCCTTGCCTATCTGTGGCTCTTGTCTGTGACACTGTCTACTGAAGTGGCCCAGCTTTCCACAGTGGAAGCCATTTTGACCTCCTTTATTACCTTTGGGTGGCATTGTTTATGAGTAAGACTTCCTTTTCCTGACATAGGCCCTAAAGTGGCAGCAATACCTGCCCCAATAATTTTGGCCATTCTCTGATCTTTTCTCTTCCCTCTAGATCCCAGTTGTTAAAAGAGGGAAAAATTTAAACAAATATATAACAAATAATTTTGAACAGTATAATCTTTTAAGCTTAAGGCTAGAAATATTAACAATATGATCCTTTCCAATCCAGAAATACATGTTCCAATGCAGTTCCTATTTTCCATAAATGGTTTTTTTAAGAAGAATATTGGAAATGTGGATACAGTTCCAGTGTTCCTCCTCCATGCCATGATATAGTGTTATTAGCGTGAGCAGTTATTAATCCATTGCCATCCTTACTCTAACTTAATTTTTTTAATTTAAATTTGTTATTAATTTCAGTAAAAATTTACAGAGGCTTTGGATTTCCATTCATTCATTGTTGCACATTTCTCCCCTCCCACGGCTCCCCCCAGAACACTACCCTCTTGGAAAAGTAAAAGAAAAGTTCTTTCATTGTTTTACAAACCCTCCTCCAGGTCCACTCCACCATATAGCCATTGCTCTAGAATCCTGTCATGACAGAAATACCTAACCACATATCTCTTTTAAACAGTTTTCTCCCTCCTCTGTTTCAGTGCAGTATAAATTATTGAACCCATCTTACGCAGTCTCTCCCCAACCCCAAGCACAGTCCCATTCTACAACAGTGGCACCATGCAATATTTGTCCTTTTGTGACTGGGATATTTCACTCAGCATAATGTTCTCCAGAGTCAACCATTTTTAATATTATTGCATGAGTTCCTTGTTTTTCAATGCAGCATAGTATTCCATTGTGTGACTATACCACAGCTTCTCTATCCATTCATTTGTTGATGGGCATTTAGGTTGTTTCCAGCTCCTTGGTATTGTGAACAAAGCTGCAGTAACATGGGTGTGCATATATCTGCTTGGCTGTCAGTTATGGTCTCTTTGGGATATATTCCCTGTAGTGGAACTGCTGGGTCAAATGGTATCTCTATTTGCAACTTTTTGAGAAAGCGCCATAGTACCTTCCACAGTGGTTGCACCGGGTTTATTGAGTTTTATATTGGTCATCTCTGTTAAGGTCTACAACCACCTGCCATTGGGTTGGCAGCACACCTCCAGACCGCCAGGGTTTCTTAAAAGCTGTTTAGACCCTAGCATTCAAGGCAGTCCTGCCTTTGTCCTTATGCTCACCACTCACTGCCCCCAGCTACTGCCTCAGCATGCTTTGGCAGTTGATGGAGTGAAGGAAGGGAAGTAGAATGGTCGGAGGATGGTGTCCTTGGAAACCTGTATATTTTTTGCATGTCTAACAATGCAACAAGTGTGTTTTGTTCGTGGATCTAGTTATTTTGCTAAATGATGGTCTCTCAAAGCATATAGACTACTGTAATGCTTTAAGCAGAAGTGAGAGCTAAAGAGTGTTTAACTTTTTATCTTTGTTTTTTAAATACTTTCAGCTATATTTATTTAATTGTGATTTTAGTGAAGGTTTACAGAAAGTTTGGGTTTTAATTCAGCTATATTCTTAATGCTAAAGCAATTTTATCCAAGCAGTACATTTTTTATGCTACTTGATTTGTCTAAATTTAGTCAATTATTAAAATCGAAAATAAGAGATTTATTTATATATGCTTTTTTAATGTTATGTGTTCAGAAGATTTTATATATAACTAGGGTTTATAAAGCAGTATTATTGCTTGTAATACCTCCTCATATCTTTTAGATGAAAGAGACATTTAAACATTTTTAAAATAAAATGCACAATTTCCTGAAATAGTGACATCCTGAATTTTTCTAGTTCATTTTGAGGTAGGTTATTGGTAAGACCTTTTGTCAACCTTTCTTTTCTTTCCATGGGAAAGAGTGTGAGTGTTTTTTAATGAACAGATTTCTGTCTTTGCCAGCTCTGTATCAACACTGTAATTAGGAAAAGTTTTGGGGTTTTTTCCCCCCCTTATCCTTATTGAACAGAGTGGAAGCTGCTCTAAATGCAGGCTACTAACAAGTGCTTAATATACAGCTAATTAAATTGGTTAAGAACTGCAAAGCTTGCCAGCTCTTTAATAGTGAAGCTTTTATAATTGAATATAGACTTTCCCAAATGACCTTTTTTTACGGGTATGATTTGCTTTACTATAAAATGTCATAGGGTCATTTTGATTTTTGGTTAATTACATATTTAATAAAGATTTAGCTCCTTCAAGTTACAAGATTTGGAGATGTTAGCTGGTAAATGCTTTTTTTTTAAACAGCTAATCAAACTACTTATGGCTTATTTGTTTAAAGCAGTGTTTGGTACTATGGCTATATACAATAAAATAATTTCTTAACCATGCTTTAAATTTATTAAGGAGCCATATCAGAAGGCCTCAATTAATATAATACTGCATTTCTAGAAAGAGAATAAATATTTTAGTATCTGTTTTTTTCCTTTCAAAATATTACGAGAATATTTGAGCTCTTAACCAGAGTGTATATGTTCAGCATATTCCAGCAATTTGCATCTACTGAATAAATTTAAAAAAGACAATGTCCTTCATATACTATTATTTACATTTGTCATATTGTAATATGTAAGGCACATTATGTCATGTGATTATTTCTAGCAGAGAGAGCCCAAAGTAAGATGTAGGACATTTTACAGGGATAGAGAGCCAAGGAAAACAAAGAAATGAGAATTTTTAAGATATTTGAACTTTCAGTAGTGACTTTATTAATATATATTTATTACTGTAGTCACTAAATAGTATAGCTAGGAGCTACTCTGTATTCTCCATGATTTCTATTTAGAAATTTACATTTTGCCTACATTTATTTGCTTTTGGGAGAAAAATGACATGTTGCTTTAAGTAACAGCAGAACAACAGAGTGCAGAATAGTTCATCCCTTTTTGTTAAAGTTCTAGCACAGTACTCATTGTGATTTTGAAATGTATTCTTTTATTTGGTGAAAACTATTTCCCAGAAGCTATTCTTGAAAATAGAAAAATACTAAGCACTCTGTGAACTATCTTATGTAGTATTTGGTTTTTTGTTATGTACCACCAAGTCAGAACTGACTCATAGCTGACCCACTGCAGTGAGTTTTCAGAGGCAGAAAATAGCTGAAGAGGAGATTACCCATTATTTTCCCATGGAACAGTGTTTTGAACTGCATGCCTTTGAGTTGGCAGTACAACTCTTTACCAGTAAGCCAGCCGAGTTCCCTATATAGTATTTATTATAATTAAAATAAACATTCTCCTTTTTTTCTTCTACCTTTTCAACTCATTAATTTATAATTTAACATTGTATACCTATTTTTTAAGCTTAATTGCAGTCTTGTCTTAGACATAAAAAGGTATGATTTCATCCAAAGATGTTAAAGGTTGTATTTTTAAAGGTTAGCATTAACATTTACATTAAAGACTCCTAACAAATACATCTGGTGGTCTAGAGGTTAAGGAGTTGCACTATAAAACCAAAGGCACACCATTCAACTCCACCAGCTCCTCCACAAATGAAAGGTGGACAATCTCTTCTCAAGCCATTTACTGCCTCTGAAAATTCACTGGATTGGGTCACCTATGAGTTAGTTGTGGCTTGATGGTACATAATAAAAAC